CAGACGCGCACGACACGCAATTTCACTTCACTTTATTTAACTCGCTAATTGAACGTGTTACAAAATGTTATCTTTTAACGCGAATGCTAAACTTTCTGTTTCTTCCGAGTTATCACCGATTTAAGCCAGCACAATAGACCAACTATGCACCAAGTGATCTGGAACTCAACACCTAACCTAGCCACAAAGCAGAGAACGTCCAAAAAGGTATTTACGAACAGCAAACAAAACGGAATGTGTAGAGCTCTGTCAAAAAATGTGGAACCCAAAAACAGATGATAAATGAGTTCCACTTACATAACTTCCAAAGATGCCAACTAGGTTAAAAATTTGCTGTCAATAAAATAAAGGAGCAGTTAGACGGTGCAACTGCAAGTTCTTTTCAAAAGTCTGCCAAACCCAAGAATTTCCAAAAGTGATTACAGGACCTTGCATGTATAGCGACTTTCGAAAGCAGTTTTTATTTCCGAAAATCAAACTTTCCTACACCACTTTTTTCTTTTTAAACAGTGAATGCAGAAAATTCCAATTTCACCTGTGTTACCAGAAAATTCGCACAAAACAACTGCAACATGTCTAATGTTTATATATTTAAATTGCTCATATCAGGAGAATTCATAAATTACAAGTATTCTATACTCGTTCTGTTTATTCTTAACAGTTTTTTCAGGGGCTCTCAAGTGTCCCTATAAAACCAGGAAAAGCATGTTATTTCTTAGAACTCTGCACCCCACGGGAATGATGTCAAGCACTACAACGTGAGGGAGAAAGGAAGTTAGTCGCCGTTGCTATGCCGTAGCTATTCGGGTGTCCTTAGCCCCTTCATAACCGCTGCTATTGCGTTACATGCTGCCGACCATTTCCCTGCAAAAATCGCGACTACTCCATGCATGCATGTCAAGAGTACTCCCTAAGGACCAACGAGTACTCCAAAATTAACCACAATTCATATAAAAAATATGGTCCAATTAACATTGCGATGTCCTACGGCAGGACCATATACTCCATCTCTGCATTACATCAGAGTAGCACAAAACTACTCCAACATATTAACAATGGCATTGTTGTTATATTTTTTCGTTTGTACACGCTTTTGTTCTTCACTTCACAGATGCTTTTTCGCAACTAATAAAAACCAAAAACAAAAATAAAAACTACATGTTGCCTCTGACGGCATTCGAATCCAAACATGCTGGGAGCAAACAAATAACAGCCAGCATCTCTACACGTTCAGCTACAGCCAGACATGCAAATGTGCTTTCAAATGATCAACTTCAATCACATTTCGTTAAAACACGAGCAGTGATCGCGTAACAATAAGCTGGTGCAGAGACACGAGTTGGTCCGCTACAGCATGACAGAGGAACACTTTTGTAAGTACTCCAATATACAACAAATAGATTACATGGTCCAACGATTTTTGCAGGGTTCTCGCTGCTTTGTAGCATGAACCAATTAGAACAGATCTGACCGGTTGAGAAGCAGCCATTTGTAATAGCAATGAGAAAAAAGTGTGTGACGTCGTAATTTTGAAGTTTGCTATTTCTGTTTTGCTTCTTTCTTTATGTGTATTTTGTTGGTGGTTTATTTCAGTGATTTTTAAGTGATTTTCTGTGCAAATGTAATTAAAATGAAGTGCGCGGTGATTGGATGCAAAACACGTACAAAATAATAAATCGGTATGCTTCGTCTTCATATTCTTTGTTTACTTTTCACAGAAAATAACATGACGCCTAAATTACAAACGTCAGCCAGAAAATTACTTCTTTCTTTTGCTTCATCTTGTCAGATCTTGTGTAGTTGGATCATGACTTTGTAGGATATCCCCACTAAAGTGCTAGTTTTTTCCACGGTACACAACGGGTTAAACCCCTTGCGACCAGTAGCAGCAACTGCCGATTTATTTATTTATTTATTTATCACCCTATACTTACGGTAGTGCATTCCAGTGACGTCCGGTAGTGCATTCCAGTGGAAGTTTTGTGATCTATCCCTGTTCTGACATTCATCTTGTCTTTGACATTTGTTCGACAAATTTGTTGGGTCTGTGATTTGCAAAAATTTTTTCCTGCTTACCAATTTCGGAAACTAAACGTTTGTTCTAAAAGATAAATAAAAGTTTATAAAAATTGTAGCAATGACAGCACCATCAGCAAACGTATCAGCTTATTTAGCAGCACAAAAGAAAACAACCAACAAGGAACTTGCGTCCGAGTGGACTACCATCGAAGATTTGCACAACGAAAAGTAAGAAGTTGCAGGACGCCAACAGATTCCGATTGTCTTTCGATTTATTTTAATCCTTGGTTAATATTTTATGAACTTTAGGTTATGGAATGAATTGACTATTTTGTTAACGCGTTTTGTTCGTCACCCCGCTCTGCAAGATGAGGATACTTTGCTACAATTATACCAAAACTTCATATCATCATTCGAAATGAAGTGAGTAAAATTTGACTTAGTCTTTTACCAAAGTTTATATTATTTATTTATTTCCGATTACAGGATAAATCCATATGGGCTAGTGCAAATACTCGAGGTAGTAGTAGAACATATTTCCGATAAGAAGGAAGCCGTTGAGTTCTTAGAAAAACTGAAGGAGAAAGTAAATATTTGCGATGAAGCAGTGTGGTATATTAGGGTAAAAAGCAATTTTGTAATATTCATTAGACACTATAAAAGATCGAAAAATTGTAGGTATTGCAAGGTAACCTTTATTTGACCAACCTTAATGATTTGGACGCCACAAAGAAAATAATTGAGGAATTGCGTGATGTGCTCGAAGAAGCCGGAAATGTTACACCAGTACATGGTAAATTTTATATGCTCGCCTCACAGTACTACCGGCGAGTTGGCCAACACAGTGATTACTATCGCTGTGGATTGCAATTCCTTGGCTGTTCGCTCGATGATTATCCTAAAGATGAGTGGGCGCAACAAGCTTTTTTCCTTGGCTTAGCAGCATTGCTAGGTGATGGCATTTATAATATCGGTGAATTGGTATGTTTCGTTTAGTATAAAAAAATTGTATAATTCTTTTGTAATTCATTTTTAAAAAGCTTGCACATCCAATTCTGGAGTCGTTGAAAGGCACAGACAACGAGTGGCTTGTTGAATTATTGAAAGCATTTAATACAGGCAACATCCCAAAGTAAGTATATTCTTAGTGCTGTATACAATAATAATTATATACATTATTTAAATAATATTTTCATAAACAGGTTCAATGAGATGAAGAAAATTTGGTCAAAGATTCCTGATTTGGCGGCGCAAGAAGTAAAATTGCGTAAAAAAATCTCATTACTTTGTCTAATGGAAATGACTTTCCAACGTTCAGCTATTCAACGTTCGATATCGTTCGAGGAAATTGCAAAGGAAACAACGCTGCCATTGAACGAAGTTGAATTGTTAATAATGAAAGCGCTTGCGCAAGATTTAGTACGTGGCGAAATAGATCAGGTCGCTGGAGTGGTGAATATGTCATGGGTACGTACACTGTAACTTCTGTTTAAATTATTTACATATTATAACGAGTATTTTCTTTTTTATTGGATCTTAGGTGCAACCACGGGTATTGGGTCGCAAACAAATCGCCGGCATGGCCACAACCTTGGACCATTGGATGGCATCTATAACATCAATGGAGAAACTGATGGAAACGCGTGCCGCTGAAATTTTAACCAACTAATACTTTTTGAAACCTTTTTTGAATTTTTTTAACGTTTAGATTAAAAATGAAATAAAATGCAAAATGTACTCATAAGAAATAGCTGATGGGATGTGTTCTGCAAATGTAAAGTAATAAGCACCACAACATTTTTACTTAAAATCTATAAATTAACCAAAAATTTCAAACGGCGAAACTGTTAAAGCTAAATTCAAAATTGAAATTTTTTCTTAAGGTCATGTATTTTTTTTAAGATTTAGTTTTTAAGTTGGAGCAGCATAAAACTATCAAAAGAGGTTTCGGGGAATCAGCTGGAGTGACAGTCCTTGGCCAGATATGTAGATGTAGATCTGAGACATTCCGGTTACGTAGACCCGACTGTCGCAAGAACGCGTGCATTTTGGTAGGAAGGCGTGATTTCGAGCAGCAATAAATGTACGACTCTGCCTACATCACTCGTTCGAGGAACAAAAGTTTGACAATCCGTTGCCCTCACTGGAAGATCAAAAGCAACATAAAAAATGTTACTACGCAATTCATGCAGCATCAATAAAGGAACAAGGTTACAATATTGCGTTAAATTCTACGTAGCTTGAACACATCCGATGTGTACCTGAGAGCGACATGAATGAATATGTAAAGATAAAGTACATTTCCCAAAATTTGTATGTCAAATAGCTCTTGCATTGATGACGACTTAAGTAACCACTAATGAAACACTGTACTATAGTATGGTTTGATTTGTTTTAATTTTTAGTTTGAGTACAAATTTGTTTTGCTATATTACATTCTTTTTAATTCCATTGCACGCCATTATGAAAATTACATACATCAATTCTAAAGATGTTGTGCGCGGAAGCAATATCTTACAGTAGATCTAGTTTTCTTTTGCCTCTTACATCTAAAAGTATTAATGTTAGTGTACTATTATCGTAGTAAAAAAATACATTACAATTGCATACATTGAAAGCCAATTGTTCTTGAAATGAGAGCCAACTAAAGCACTCAGTATTAAAATTAAATTTTCAATCATTACGCAAGTTATTTGCCGTATTCAGCAATACGAACATGCATTTACTTATGAGGCCATGAGAACCAAAGGTGCCTCATATACAAAACAAAAAATCTTCAGTAATATGAGAAAAGAAGGATCTATAAACAACTGACAAGTTTATTGTACCTACATGATGCTACCTATTAAATATAGTAAAATAAAACTAAAAGGGCGTGCATCGGGCTATCACCGTTTCGATTCTAGTCATGCATTTTAAGCTGTAACTATTTTTTTGTTTAACGTCAGGCTACTTTGGCTCTCAAGGCCAC